AACATCGACAATCGCTCCGAACTGAATCTGGGAGTGAGGTTGCTAGAAGATGGATCATGTACCACGACTGCAAGTGCTATGCTAAACGACTAACCCAAGAGAAGATGAGAACAGCGGATCTGGAGACCGTCCGAGATATTAGATCTAGCGGAAGGGACGCAGCGAGAAAGTTCTGGAAGTACCTTGGATCGCTGGAGGGAAAGGACCAAGATGTTACCATAATTGACGAGAGCACGGGGAATCCGCCAGAAGACCTTGGAACCCACCTCACCAAGTACCGGAAGGAGACGTTTGCTCCTGAGGAGGTGTCCACACCACTAGAAGGCCGACTTGCCCCGGATCAATCGGACTCCAACCAAGAGGGGGACATCGGCCGAGTGATGGTTGTGCGTGCACTGGCACGCTTGACAGGGGCTACTTCCCAGGGATTGGACGGGGTCCCCGCTAGCGTTCTCAAGTCCTTGGGAAAAGATGCAGTGGAGCAGCTGGCGGATATTTTTGGAGCAATCTTAAGGGGAGAGGAACCTGTGCCCCAAGACTGGAGGGTCGGCCGCGTGGATCTGATCCCGAAGAGAGGGGGCGACAAACAGTTCCTCAAGGATTATCGGCCCCTGACCGTGACCTTTACGGTATACCGCACCTTCGCCCACATTATCAAGGAACATATGGCAGCATGGGCTGAAGAGAACGAACTGCTCACCGAACTCCAGGGCGGATTTCGGAGGGGTCGAAGGTTGGAAGACAACCTGTTCACCCTCACGCAGTGTATTGAAATTGCCCGAAAACAGGAAAGAAGACTGCTGTGCTGCTTTCTAGATGTGGCAAAAGCATATGACAGTGTGCCGCACGCTCAACTCGTGCGACGTTTGGAGGAGCTCCACCTTCCTCATCGGTGGCTAGCTGTCATACGGCGCCTATACTCACGCAATACAGTAATGACGCAACTGAAGGGAGTCGACTCAGAGCAAGTCACAGTGACGAGGGGTCTCCGACGGGGGTGCCCACTCTCCCCGCTTCTTTATATTCTGTATGTGTCAGGGTTGGAGGAACGCCTGATCCAGTCGGAGGTGGGTTTTCCCCTGACACACATGGAAGGAGGCGCAGAGGTGAGGTGGATGCTGCCGGGCCTCACCTATGCGGACGATATTGTATTGACGGCGGAGACGGTGGAGGACCTGCAGCGTCTAATATGTATATGTGAGACGGAGGCGGCTACGTTGGGCCTTCGTTTCAACGCCAAAAAGTCGGCAGTCCTTCAATTAGCCGGGTCCGATGAGGCTAAATTAAACAGTCTGGTGCTGAACGGCGAGCAAGCACAGGTACAGGAGTCGTACCAATACCTGGGAGTTGTACTGACCAACAAGCCGGAGTACTTGTCCGATTATTACACCCACCTCCGACAGGCAGCCGTGCGAGGTACGAATGTACTCCGAAAACGTAATCTCTGGAGTTGCAATCGTTTTCTGGTGACTCGCGAACTCTGGAAGGCGGTTGTGGTGCCTGGACTAACCTTCGCCAACGCGGTTCTTTGTGTCCCTGGCACAGTGCGGGAAGTAATGGAACGTCGTCAACGAGAGGTCGGGAGGCAGGCTCTGGGCTGTCACGGAATGGTGGCCACCGAAGCGGTCCAGGGAGATCTTGGGTGGTCGTCGTTTGAGGCCAGGGAGGCGACCAGTAAGATAACCTACGACAGTCGTCATGGACCGCGGCCGGTGGGCCAAGAGACTCTTCGTCTACACATTATCTCACGGGAATGCAGACTGGCTGGAGGAAGCGGCTGTATCAGTTAGAGAAGAAATACGGCTTCTTTTCAACCCCTGTAACTATTACATCAGACAGGAAGTGGGAAATGGAGATTTGAAACAGGGTGAGAGAGGAGGAGGCAGCTCGGTGGGCAGAAACGGCGAAGTCCAAGTCGACGCTATATATGTGCCATCGATATAAGCACAACATTTCGGCAGAGACTAGGCTATACGACAACAGCCTGGGCAGCCGGCTCCTCTTTGAGTCACGCGCAGGAGGGCTGCGAACGCAGATATATCGCCGTCGCTTCGACCAGACGGTGGAATCTGCAGCATGCCGTGTGTGTGGTCAGGCGGATGAGACAATTGAACACATTGTGCTGTCGTGCACCGGTCTGCAACCAGTCCAACCAATGTAGTGTGGACAGGCAACCCGGAAGCTCGCACTGGCAGAGGCACTCGGCTTTGGGTCTGCTTCCAGCTCAGTGGCAGACTCTGCGGGTGGGACTAATGGCAACAACAACACCGACGAGAACCAACGGAGGGTGGCGTGAGCAGGTGGAAGCCACGAGACGAAGATTAGAGAACTGGTGGATGCTAGTTCACCAATGGGGATAACCGAATTCCCACTGGCTAGGTCCCAAACTCTACGGGACCGCCTGATTCAAAAGGGAACAGTCGCAAACCATCATCATCATCATCATCATCATCATCATCGTTTGTGACGTCGCGGGTAGAACAGTCGGCGCAGATCTTGGATCTCCCGTCTCGTCAGTCCCCTTCATGCGCTGCTTGGGTAACGCGCGGCAAAGCCTGTTTTACGGATTGTGTTTATTTGGTGAAGTGTGTTGGTAACATTGACTGGCAACAGAAGAATAAAACAAACTCTGGACGAGGGACGACGAACAATAACGCACTACCTCTAGAATTTCGTCGTCCCGCGCCCCGAGTTTGCTTTATTCTTTCTGTTTACCAAATCTTGATTGCGTGGCACGCGTTGTCGTGCTAACACTTTTGGCGCTGAGTTATCGAAGCGCTGGGATGTTGGTGAAAGTAGAAAATGCAGCGCTTTACCTCACCATTAACAGAAATGTGTGGATAGGTGGATGGATGGATAGATGGCGGCTATTCCCTTTAAATCGGGCGGTGACTTGTGCCACATATCCAAGTAGTGTTTTAGTTCTACATTGATTTTGACTACGTCAATTTAATCTATCCGTCCCTTGATTTTCGCCACCATTCCTCTAATCTTTTACTGATCTTTACCTCTTGAAGATGGTTTGTTTCACCGTTCTCTTCGAATCCCAGAGCCCTGAGGAAGTCAGCCTCTCCGCGTGATGTCATTGAGTGGCCGAGCCTCCTCCTCTCCTCCCCCCCCCCCCCCCCCCGCACACACACACACACACACAGACACACTCACACATTCCATAGCGACATGCTCTGACGTTTTGCCACCCTCCCCACACACCGTGCATGTTCTATCCACCTCTTGAAATTCGGCCCTGTACGTCCCGGTTCGCAAATAGCCTCAAACAATAACGTACTACCTCTAGAATTATGGGATATTCCTTCCTGTCTACAATATCAGTTTTCCTTGCCCTGTACATTTCCAAAGCTGGCTTCTGCTTTCAGTGTCTCCCACATTTCTCTCTCTTCAGCTCTCCCTTACAATATCCTTCACTGTTCCTGTCCGCCCATATTCCTCGGTGTTACATAAGTTCTTTGACGCGAGTCGTCGGGTTCGTTTTCTCCATCTTGCGTCTACGCTGCCCATATGTATATCTAAATATTCTACCTGCCCATCTCTCCTCATCCATTTCCCGCAGCCGTTCCTCAAATTCCAGTTTGCTATTTGCCTCCCTTGCCTCGAACGACGACCAACCCGTATCTCCCTGTACACCTTTAAGGCTCCATTGGTGGTTTTCCCATGGGATTCTAGTGACAAGCTGTACGCCACGCTGTTTGACTTCCTGTCTTGACTGTACCTCCGGCGTCGTGCAGAAAATAGCATTTTTAAATGTTAAACCAGGCACCAGTCCCCAGGCACCAGATCCCCCTTCCAGATACCTCTCATTACCTCGTATCTGTTAAGATTATACAATGCTCGTTTCATCATTACTGATGCATTCCTGTGGCCTTTCGTTGTCACATAGTTTTCATGTTCATGGAGGCACTGTTTGCCCTCGTTTAACCACCAGGTCTTAAAGTCTGGGGGGTCTCAGGGGGTCTCGGACCCCCGCTGATTTTAACGGATGGTCTGAGACCCTCCTCCACAGCCCCAGCATTAGTGAAATCAAAATTATATCTTGCAATAAAATAGCTTATTTTTAGGGATGTGACATTTGGGGATTAGCAATTTGAGCGTTGCAGGAACGGCGGGGACAGAGTCAGCTGTGGGTTTTATTTTATATACATCTAATACATTTCGTCGAAACTCCCCCCCCCCCCCCCCCCCCCCACACACACACACACACACACTCCCCCCTTCTTGTAGGGACACCCTCAACTTACGGGAGACTTCAAGCACTGTTAACCACACTCCCCAATAGTTGTATTGCTCTACTCTCGAGACTTTAAATCGTTGTATACATCATGGCTTGTCCTGCGTGTCGTTAAAAACCATAATTCCTGACTTCTTTGCACTAAATTCCAGTCCCAGCACGTCACTTTCCTGAGGTCGCGTACCTCTGTGGCGATGTCTGGTGGAAGGCTGGCCACGATGTGATGATACTTGGTGCGATCAGCGGTGATCTTCCGAGTCGCGAACTGCGCCTCCACTTGTAAAAACCACAGCTCGGGATCCGCAGGCCAGTACGGTGGGAGCTCGAGGGCGACGACGGAGACGCCTTCCGCAGGGGGCGCCGTGGTTGAGGAGTTAGCAGAAGCATTTTCTTCTTCTTGATTCATCGCAGCGCTTGAGGTCGGGTTTCTCGTTTGTCCGGGTCATCAATGTAGTTTCAAATAATGTTCTACTGAACTCGTTTTATTTTTCTGAGGGACTACACAAGAATAACGACATTAAAACTACGAGGAATGTTCCTGCGTCCTAACCGGGCGCTGCTCGCAAAGCGTCTACAAATGTAAAAAAAAAAAAAAAAAAAAAAATGTAAACAAGGCAAACAAACAAACAAAATATTAACATAAGTAAGCAATTACCGCACTTTTAAACAAGTCAAAGAGCGGTATGTTAACCGATTGCGCGGGAAGGCGACTTTATGATCTCGACAGAAAAGCTTCGTAACCCAACCAAGGGTTTGTGGACTGCACTTCGTGTCAGGTGAGGAACCTCTTTTCGATTGACTAGGACAGGAAAATATTCTGAAATGTTGCTGTAAAAAGACGGTGCTATCACTCTACGGCGCTGTTGCGACCGCAATAAGACGCCGAATGCCTACAACATGGCGCCAAGGCACTGATAGCCTGCTGATAGCAGACGACAATGTTGGTTTCGATTGCGAGTCTAACCGAAAGTAACGTCAAATGCAATGCGTGACCGTACTACAGCTATCGCTTTCGTTTCTTAGAACATTGTGGACAAAAAATACGATTTTGTTTAATAACTTATAATAGAGGAATAATCTCTTTCTGATAAACGTTATCATATCTTCTAATTTGTGTCTTAAACACTCAACAGTGGCTAGAGGGCGCGGTCTACCACCCAAACAAATAAAAAGCGGTCAATGCATTTTATTTCTCTAATTGCACTGGACAGTTTTCACTTTAAATGGCGGCGCGCTTGGTCTCTGTGGTGGCGTAGTTGCGTGGTTTACAAGGTTGTACTAAGACGTCGCGCAGGCCCTCGCAGGCATATATTTCCTCCATCTCACGCACCTCAAAATTCCCACTGGTGAGTGGCAAGGAAAAAAACAGGGCGCTGGCTTCCACAACGCCTCGTGCCCGCTAGATTGGTCCACGACCACTGTCCACGACAGTGATCACTCGAGACCTTTTGGTCTCGAGTGTAGAATCCAGTGAAGACCTTTTGGTCTTCACTGGATTCTGACTGCACATTTCTAAATGACATTGACCATTTACTGAGAACTATTACGTCTTAAAAAACAAAATAATAATAATAATAATAATAATAATAATAATAATAATAATAATAATAGTTTTATTTCTCATCAATGATGAAGTGGCCCTTCCACGCTATTTGGTAACACTTCTAGGTAGATTCGCCTCAAATGCATATCTTTATTTTTAAGTAGAACAACGCACATCCCTGAGGAGGCAGCCAGCACTTGGATGTACGATCTTCTGTTCTTTGGCTGCCTCAGGCTCTCGCAGGCACGTATCCAGAAAAGGGGGGAAGGGGGGAGGAGGAGGAGGAGGAGGGGAAGCATTAAACACGTTTCTTAAAGCGTGCGATATTGCACTACACCTTTTTATAAAGATGTAAAACTACAATACCCCTTCTCGTCACACACGTAGCCAGGGGGGGGGGGGGGGGGGGGCCCTTAAGGCCCCCCCCTCCGAAATCTTCTATTTTGCTGGGGCCTCCTCTCCCCCCTTCCCCTCATACAGCATTTTGTCATGGGCAGCCCCAGCCCCCCCCCCCCCCCCCCCCCCCCCCCCCCAATCAAAATCCTGGCTACGTGCCTGGGCTCTCGACTGTATGGAAGTTGAGCCAATAAACTCCTTCAAACTTTGAGGAATGCGGCGCTTGGGAAACAGTCAAGCCCATTTTATTTACATGTACAACATTAAGAAGTAGACATACATTTCACAAAAATTCCACAGATGTTCTGGGGAGTAGGTCCTTTGTTTGCTCCAAACTTCTAGATCCTTTGCACCACAAGGAGCAGCCTAGATTTTTGAATTCCCTAATAACATCGGCGCGCTGTCAATACTTTGATCAATGCAGAGCGCAAGTCTGTATGCTTCTTTTGCAGGGGTTGTGGCGACGTCAGAACGCCGAGCTCTGATGGGCTCTGTTTGAAGAATAGTGGGTAGACCCCAAAGCAAGCTGCCTTGAGGACTACCCACCATAGACTCGGAGCACATGTTTAGGAAGTGCCACAGTCGTGCGATAATCAGCACCTGCACTGGTGAAGAAATGCATTGATGGGCAGTCGCTGGCTTGCCTGACTGCGTACGTCCCCGCACATATTGAAAACATGGTGATTGGTTTGTCTGAAGTAGAACTGAGCTGTTCCTTTGGTATTGTGGATGTAATGCTCCAGGCATATTCTTAATAATCAATTGAATGCAGTCTGACGCGGAAGGCACCCACACAACAAGGTATCGGGTTGACGAATTCCGTCTCGGTGAGCTAATCATTTTTATTAGCATTCTCTAGATCATATCTGCCGTTGGTTATTTTATTTCTATACGTATACAGAATGTTTTATTTTGCGCCACCTCGGGAATGTGTTTCTTTTGAGGAAAATATTTATTTTATTCACATTATTTCATTGTTGGTGAACATTTGCACTAAACTTGTTCTGTATTCAGTTTATTCTGACTATAATATATTTGCATGACCAACCTTTTTGGGATTGTTTACGGCTTGGAGGGCTTAAGTCACTGTGATATATGGCTGGTTTAAAATATGGAAACGCCGATTTGTTTCGACAGCAGTAGGAGCTAATTAATAGTTATTGACTGCCAAGTTGGTGCATTGCAACGTGACCACAAAATTAAATGCAACGTTACGAGAAAAATAAGGGTTGTGCGAAACCTGTTGCCCGCAGACCAGAAGTTGGCGGTGTATTTAAGAAGCTTGTTATTAATGTTTCAAAATATATACATCTGTTTTTTTTTTTTCTTCTTTTAACTGGAATGTGGTTTAGATGTGTGGCGGTACTTAGACTACATATTTTGTGCACCACTTGGATAAATATGCCTACTATAACGTCGCAATGTCTCCACTTCTCGTTAAAATATGCCTACTATAACGTCACAATGTCTCCACCTCTAATTAAACTAAGTAAAGCACTTAGAATTGTTTAACAAATTAATAGTCAGCACCGGTCAAACAACAAATAACAACCTGGCAAATCTGCAAATAATGCTGTGGAAGTTCAAATAACAATATCAAGCGCGACAAAGGCAGTTGAGTCGGAGCACTATTTTGGTATCTGGAATAAATTAAAGGCAGAAATGTATCCACCACCTTCATCATTTCGTCTGCCAGCCACCCCCAGAAGAACCTTATGGCGTGCAGCTAGAGCTTTAGTTCTCTCGTTAAAGAAGACACTGCCACAAATGCAGTTTTCACAGTTTTGACAGCGCTACAACAAAACAAATCAATCACCGAAACACAGTATCGATTAAGTGAGTGCTAGAACTCAGCAAATGGATAAAATAGGTAAACAATGCAGCCTTTTGTCTCCAAGCATTGTTACCAAGTGCCCACACATGTACGGAAAGCAAGGACGTCGCACTTGTTGCCTTCGCTGTTTTACGCATTAGGATGACATGCAATATAGTTTTAATCACAAACTGTAAAAAAAAAAAAAATACAAGGTAGTTGTATGTTTTTGTTGTTGTGCACTATGCCAGTGGAAGTATAGCATCTTCAATGGCTCAAATGACAAACTGGACTTGCCATCGTTGCGAAAGTTGCACACCAGATGTGCAACTTCTGTAATCTGTTAGGGCAAACTCCATTGCATGGTTTCCATCCTTCCATCAAAGCCAATCAGTGCTCAGCATTCTGACGTCATTACAACCCCTGCGAAAGAAGCAGACGAACTTGCGCTCCACATAGTTTTATTTTATTCCTGTAATAATCATCATAACTGGATGCTCCACACTCGGGGATGATATTTTGTGGCATCTCAGGAGTGAAGAGTGTACGTGCAGAGCTGTGATTGGGTGGCACTCAGTTGGTTGAACGACGTTTTAGCAAACGCCGATTTTTCATCAGAAGACACTTTAGCGAATGGTCAGCCGCCGTGAAGCGGCGTTTACTGGTGGGCCTATTGGGTTAACATTTTTTAATGAGACGCCGCAAACTTTCGCCGCTAGGCGACGTGGACGCAGGGGGGTGGGAGGTTTAACACGCGCCCCAGTTATTTGCTAAAACGTCGGTTTGCTCAAATGACCGCTGTTTTCAAAAACGTCATTCGCTCAAGTGATAATCTGCGCTCAAAGTGTCCGAGCACATGGGTTTGACCTCACTGCCACAGAAAGTTGGTCCCAAGTGTTGGTGGCTCCAGTGAAATCGACGGCACCTAGCGGCTAGAACAGAAGGCTGGGATAGCCGGTTTGCTCGCCAGTCTTTTCGAGCGAATCAGATATTCACAGCGCCTGGCAGCCTAGAGGCAAAGCTGTGAAAGTAGGTACAACACGTGATGAAAATCGGCAATAATACATATATCTTCTTACATTTCATTCTATCACTTTTGGCCCTGTTCACTTCCCCAAAAGTGGCCGTGTAACAATATTGCGTTAGAACGTTTCTCCCTTTGCACAAGCTTACTAGTATTTGCATAGAGTTAATATAATAATCTAGAGGGTAAGGCCCTATGCACTGGGGCAGCTTGGAAACAGCGACGCATAGACGTGAACGTAGGCGGTCCAGTTAGTGGTCCTGATGGGCCAACATTGCTGGCGATGCCTTAATATGCACAAAGAGGTAGCAAAACGTCACCTGTAAGGTCAGTACCTTGTTCTTTTCTAGCTTACTCTGCAGAAAAACACTGGAATCGTGCACTGTATAAAAACGAATCAAGTCGACAAGCACTCGAGTAACTTCAGCTCGTTGCGGCAAAACAAACATGCCTAACCTTTTGTCTGCTTTCTTTCTCCGCTCTTCTGTTGCTCTCTTTCTCATTCTTTCTCTCCAGACCGCCAATGTCGGCGCCTAGGATTTGCCGCATTCTGCTCCCGTCTTTGCCCCCTTGGGTACTAGTGACCGAGATGTACTCGAGCGCAACGCCACCGTTTGTTTTTGCAGTCTCTCCTGCGAGAAATGTGGTGGTGTATTGATGGGGATTGCATATTCTGTTCTTAGTTGTGGGGATTACCATATAATGACAATATTCAGGTGCAGTTCGTAGATTTGACCTGAGTACTGCAAAAACACTTGGCTTGGGCTCGTGACAATCAATGGATTGACGAGCATTCGTGTAGTGGCTCAGTTCAAATCGCTGCAGTGACGGGAATAACCAAACACTAAAACATGTCTGGAACCCAGCATGTGCCCTGTTCCTTGCTAGCCTCAATGCGTGGGTATGGTGAACATTGGCGGCATACAATCGGCACCAAATCACGTGGCTGCTCATTCTGTTTGCGACTTGAGGGGTGAATGGTGCTCGTTTATTTTCAGTATTTTTCTGTGACTGCCATTGCGTGGGGAGACAAACAGATGCGTGTTTCGTAGGTCATGACCCTCAGACTTATTCTGTGCAGTATCTAGTGATGTACAAAAATTATTGTACCACCCCTTTAAACGGGGTAGCCTGTTAGAGCCTAAGGCACAGTGTTTTACTGAACACAATTTCTCTCTAGCCATGGCCCCAAACATCAGAGCCATTATGAGACGCAGAGCGGCGGCAAAGCGGTCTGAAGGTGACGATGGAACCAGCTGCAAGGTTAGAAAAAAACAGTGCACAAAGGCCGATCACGAGGCTGCCTCGACGTCTTCGAGTTGTGCCTCCGCTCCGAGCCACAAGGGGCTCTCGGCCAGAGACCTGAACAAAGTCAGGAACCGGCTCCATGCCCGTTTTTCTGCATCTGGACAAACTTCCGAAGATCCGCTACCCTGCGGCGAAGATGCCGTCGACGACAGCGACAAGAAACAGACCAGGTGGGATACCATAATTCCCGGTCTATAAGTCGCATCTCCCTATAAATGGCTGTTTTCAGAAAAAAAGTTGATATATAAATTGCACCTCTGTGTAAGTCACACTTCTATGTTTCTGTGCTCGGTGCGGTAAAACTGCATCAATAAGGCCACAAACATGTATTATGATTGCGATATATGCACTAGCAGGATCCAGTTACGACGCTCCTGCCAACAAATCAAATGTAAAATATAACCGATGTGGCAAACATGTGCAGTTAAGGTCCATACATATGGAAAACGAAAATGCATATAAGTCGCACCATTGTATAACGGTGCAACTTAAAAAAAGTTAAAGACGTTTACAATTTTTTGTAATGCCGAATTAGAGCGCAGCTCTTGAAGAGGAGGAGCGGGTGGTACGAGGGGAGGGTATGCCCCTCCTCCTTCCCGCTGAATTTAGCGGGGAAAATTTTCTGCTGAATTTAGCGGTAAAATTTTATTCTCGTGATGTCACACGTCGGTACGGTAAATTTAGCGGGAAAATTTTACCCTTGCGACGTCACACGTCAGTAGTATAAATTTAGCGGGAATTGTTTTCTGCCAAATTTAGCGGAAATATTTCCCCGCTAAATTTAGCGGGGATATTGACAATGTTAGATACTTCTGACGTCACGCAACATCACATGTGACGTCATACGTCACATGCTTCCTATAATGATGTCACACGTGACGTCACATGTGACGTCACGAGGGTAACCTTCGTGAGGGTAACCCTTTTGACCCTCTTGAGGGTAACCCTTGTGATACTCGTGAGGGTAACCCTTGCGACACTCATGAGGGTAACTCCCGTTACCTTTCGTGAGGGTAACCCTCGTGTACCTCTTGAAGGTAACCCTCATGAGGGTAACCTTTGTGACTCTCGTGAGGGTAACCCTCGTGACCCTCTTGAGGGTAACCCTTGTGAGGGTAACCCTCGTAACCCTCACGAGGGCAACCCTTGTGGCGTCACACGTGACGTCACGTGTGACATCATTATGGGAAACTTCCCATAATGCAATGCGCGGTTATGCCGACGGCGACACCGACGCTGTCGCTGCTCAAGCCGAAAAGAAGTGCCCGAAAGCTGCGCTTTAAAAAAGAAAAAAAAAACTTGAGTTATACATTGGAAAATATGTCATTTACTAATTTCGAACATGCTGCTAGTCATAAAGACAAAGCAGTTTAAATGTCTAAAACATAGAACGTCTTCATATCTCTGAAACGATGGTCCCTTGTAAAAACAGTTCTTTCTTGTGAAGCACCACGGACGGGGCAATAACACAGTCATTGGCCTTTCCTTCAGTGGCCTGTGCGTCTAGTAGTTTGCTCGTAAGCTTGTCTGTGTTTTTTTTCTACAATGTTGATGTTGTGTAACCTTGCAGTGCATTGGCACTGCAAGGTTGCATGCAAGGTCATCTTCAAACGTTCAGCTGCCTCCATCTCTAACTCCTAAAAGAGTTTGCGTTAAAGTGAAAAGGTGCAATGTATTTGTTGTTTTGCTCTCGTTGCCTTTTCGCGGGTTGCACACACAACATATTTGCGAATATCGTAAAGAAATGACCACGCAGCGAGTGAAAAAATAATTTTATCCCAGTGGGATACTGGTGCTTAGGGGTGGGACGTTTGCAGTAGACTTCAGTATCAGCACGGCCTAGGTAATGAGACCCCAGTGCTAGACTTTCGACATTCATCATTCGAGCGGGACTCGTGTTTGCTGTGTGAAAATGCAAGTTTCAGTTGAATACTGACGCAGCGCTGGACTCCAATCTGTGTCCCACGCTGGCCCCTGGTGGGTGGCACAGAAAATCCAGCATTACGCCCTTATAATTTACGAAATGTTGGGTGCATGTGGTACGGGCATCGAACAAGAAGACAGAAGAAGGGAAAGTTTCCTTGCCAGGCTGGGTTTTCCAGTGAAGCTGCACCCAAAGCTTTAAAGATGAGGATTTGACTGCTTTTCTGCCCAGTGTCATATTGGTTCCGTCAAGCTGCATTGTCACATTTTTGTTTTGTTGAGGCTCGTCATGGACCCAGCAGTGGCGTGGACCTGAGATTAGCCCGATTTCAGAGTGGGAAATTCAAACTATCTTCATTTGTGTTTGACGGATGGAGTTTAACGACACGTTACCCTTCCTGAATGTGTCTGGTTAATGCTGGTTCACACGCCTGCGTTTGGCGCCAACTAAGTGAGCTCGTGCCTTTTTACGACGAGAGAACACACTGGCACGTTGGCACCACCTATGAGGTGGCCCTGGAACTGCATTTCACTAGAGTGAAGGTCTTATAGCATTTGTGAGATCAAACATATATATTGTCTATGGCAAATGGTTTTTGATAACATTGTCAGAAGTTTTTCACGGCCACAATGAAAGAATGATGCGCGAAAGAAATGGGAAAATATACGGAAATCGCGGGCATTCCACGGCTACCTGTTATGCAGTATCTGCGTGGTCTCTGATCGTAAGGGGATCACTTATCTGCACGACAAACTTGGTTGCAACCAAACACAGGTGTGTGAACCAGCCTTTACGGTTACTTTGCAGTTATTCATGGAATACCGCATCGCGTCGAGACTGTGGGTGCCGTTGTTGCCCACCTGCTACTCAGTTCAATCCCAATTCGATTGCACCACTACCCACCAAACATTTCAAGGTGGGGATCAAAACAAGTAGCGTACATCAACAGACTCTGGATTAATGTGGATTAAAAAAACCGCATCATACGCTTGCAGGTGTGCTCCTGACATCCCAAAATTACAAGCGGTGTTCCAGCCGATTCTGCGCAACAGACTAGGCTGGAACCTGTCGTTTTCTCTTCCCGATTCTGCTCAGCAGACTAGGCTGGAACCTGTCGTTTTCTCTTTCCGATTCTGCGCAGCAGACTAGGCTGGAACCTGTCGTTTTCTCTTCCCGATTCTGCGCAGCAGACTAGGCCTGTCGTTTTCTTTTCATTCTCGCTTAACACAATCTTTCCCTGAAATGACTTTACACCTCGTTCCTCAAGTACATGGATGCGATTCATTTCAATTTTATTTCGAGCCTATTTGCCCTCTTTCTGTACGCAACATCGGACTTGATTGAGCGAAGCGAGGACGGACTTATGGCAGCCATTTGCCTGGAACTCTAGTCACATTTAGTTCCTTGTTCCCACGGAGCCGGTTGCATGATCTCACAACCTCTCCTGCGGCTACTTTAATCGCCGGGCGGTCAGGCTGCTTAGTGTTTTAATTAGGGGTGTGCGAATACTCGAATTCGAATCGAATAGAAAGTTCCCGAATAATTCGATCCGCGAATCGAATTCTTCGGTCACTCGAATATTCGATATATTCGGCCAAAGACGCGCGGTCGCCGCGGAGCTGACACAAAAAAAAGCCGTTTTTCCCCCCGATGTAAGCGCCGTGTTGTTAGACAAACCATGCGAAAAACAGCTCTTGGTCCTACCATTTCACAAAAATCTAACGCACAGGTTAGTAAAAAGAAAAGTAACGAACGCCATGAACTTTATAGTACGCAGATTTACTCACGATCGTGATACAACCTACCCTTGAATCACAACCGAAACATCCCGTTTGCGCCGCTTCCAGAGAGGAATTGTTGGGAGGCCGAAATCCCGCGCCATGCCTAATTCTTTTCACGAGTAAAGCCCCTCGTTTCAAATTGAAGCACCGATGTAAAACACACTTGCCGCACTCACAGAAATCGGCGACTGCACGATCACAGAAAGATAAACACGCCGATAAAACCAGCCGAGTTATCGTCGTCGTTCTTTTGGAACCTCGAGCCACAAATTCTGATTCGGAACGAAACGGAACGGGAAAATAGTGTGCCTAGATTTGAGAGGGTTTCCAACCGTTCGATAGCCGCGTTTGAATTACGAACTGCGAGAAGGTGACGAAAAAACGAAAGCGTCGATCGGGATCGGGCAGGCAGGCAGGGCAGGGAGACTAGGCGTCGTTGCCCTTCTGTTTGCTCGCCTTTTTCCTCGCGACAACACAACACATGCGCACTTACGACCTATCTGCACTGGAGCCGTCTCCGTGGTTTCAGTTTTGCTTGCTCCCTCTTTTAAATCTAGGCTCTCTAAAACAGAATAGATAGACGGAAAAATGGATGCATAGCGGCAGTTGGACGGTGTCTTGCGCCACCTAACCACGCTTTTTTTTTTCTTACTTCAGATTATATTGTTTAAGCCTGTTTACTAAGATTTAACACCTATCTGTTTATTTACGTGAAATAACATCCCGGGTGCCCTTTTTCTTCCTTAAAATGAAAACCAAATATTGCAAAATGCCCTTTTTCTGAGATATGCAAACATTTATAAAACAAAAAGTCGCGGTGTTAGGTTGGGCTTAAAAAAGGCATGCGTGGCTTCGGTTTTTTTTTTTTGTGACGTTTAGGGAAGATAGATTATATTTGTGCCATAAAATTGGATCTTTAGTGCCCAACATCCAACAGCTACTGCTTTTATTACTTTTTTTTCACCAGAATTTTTTTACATTTTAGCTTTTGTTCTGCACAAGATGCATATTCTGCAACAGGTGCATACTCTACACATATAATAATCTCATTCGCAGCACACTTTGAAGAATTACTACAAATAAAATCATTATTCGATATTCGATTCGATATTCGGCTTTTTTTTCTTGATTCGATTCGGTATTCGATTCGAAAACTACTATTCGGTATTCGCACACCCCTAGTTTTAATTGATGCCGCTCATATGTTTCCAGCTACACGCCACTTGAGAGCCAAGTGATCGCGATCAAGGCGCGCCATCCAGACACTGTCCTCATGGTGGAATGTGGCTACAGGTTTCGTTTCTTCGGGGAAGACGCCGAAGTGAGTCGCCGTTTTTTTTTTTTGTTCAACATCCCTTGCCAGAATAATCAGAGTGACGCATTTGTAGGTCTTGGAAACCAATTGGCCTACGTGTTGTCAGTCTATGCCAGCAGTTTTCAAATGGGGGTCCGCTGAGGAGGTTATAATGGGCAGGAGGTGGCGCCCGTATTCTCGATATATGGAGCAAAGTGTAACGGAAGTACCGTAGTCGTGCCCACAAAATGTCCCTTCTGTCTCACGGCCAATAGACAAACTCGGTTAATTGGCGCCACCATGTATATGGGGCAAACAACCGCGTTGCCATTGCCGTGACAATGAGGTTGTTTGCCCCATATTTAAATGGCAGCATCCACTGAATCGGTATGGAAGTGGGAATATTCAGAGTCCAACACTTGACTGGCCAGTAGGATATCGGCGCATGGTGGACGCTCTAGACCCAGTGCCGTGGGCGTCGTCTAGAGCGAGTAACCATAGTGCGGCTTTGGAAAGCGAGCATGTCGGGTGCTGTGTGGGTGAACGCTGGAAATGGCACCGGGTCAAGAGTGCCATAAAAGTTCTGTTTCCAGCACGCATTCGTTGCCTTCTGTTGTGCTGCAAATGCGCGTGCCCATCAAAACTTCTTTGGATGCTTTCATTGTATTGAAAGCCAGCCATGACAGCGGTCAGACGAAGCAGACCGCAGCCACGGAGCAGGCGTAGCTAACCTTAGCCCAGCATGGCCGACCAAGCTGATTGAGTGTCGAGCAGACGATGAGAGCTCCGTCAGAGTGCGAGGCAGTCGGGATTGAGTTCTTCTTCCGGCGTCGCCGAGCGTGGCGTTATGCCGGGTCCTGGGGTATTTGAATTTTCTTAAGGTCCATGGATTCGTTGGGGGTCCCTAAAAACATTCTTAGGGTCCCCAAAGCCCTTGACCATCAGTCAAACCTAGCTATAAAACTTGATTTGTATTGATGTTATCTGTTTCACAAAGATAAATGTACCAAACCATATGCTCTGAGCAAGTAGGGTTGATTATTCTTTGTTTCAGAACTTCGAAGTTCGTTTGCATGCATGCAGTTTTTTTCATTTATTTTTTGTCATTATAATCATACTATACTGCCCACCTTCCCTTGGTGGATAGTGGATAGGAACCCTTATCACTTCCACTAATTCAGAAGGGGTCCCTGAAACAATGAGTAGAGCAGTGTAGTTCACAATAAACAGATTTGCTCAATGCATGTAATTCCCTTTCTTGAGACCTGTGTTGTAGGACACAGCTCACTAGGAGTAGTCTAGTAAAGAAGCAAAATAGAAGTAGGATATTGTATCCCATCCTTGTATGGACATCTGACACAAAATATGCACCAGTCGCCTAGCTGTGTTTGGAGATTTGTGCTTGTCCTTTGTCCCCCTTGTTCCCCTTCTCCAGGGATTATCTTTATTCTTGTTCAGCTCGCTTGCACCTTTGCATTCATTGCATTATCATCAGAAAAAAGTCAGTCTTATGTGACATGTAAAAGTGTGAGCCTATATATTTAAGTAAGAATTTCTTGAGCCAAAGGATTTTTTAAACCACTGCAGAATTAAAATTAAATATAGAAGCTTTACAAAAACTACTTTGTGGCCAGATGCTGTGATGGACCGGGTGGCTAGATGATCTAGACCTTTCATTCCTAAACTGGGTTCCTAGAAACCCAGCAGTGTCTCTTACGACCTTTTACTTCTGAAATATACAAAGTTTCATTTTTGATTGCACACAACCATAAAAAAGATAGTGAGGGAAGCACAGAGTACTCTTTAAAGGTGTCTTCCGTGGCCGACATGGCACTGAACACTCTTCCACTTGTGGCATTGAGTGAGTATTGCGGAGTCATTTGTGTCGAGGGTGTTAGACAACAGGGAGTTAGTTTACCTCAAGGGCTGTTTTATGTCTCTGCTGCAGATGAACAATCCAGCCAGTGTGGTGCGACTGCTAACCCGAGGTCCTTAACATGCGTCACACTGCAGTGATTACACGAGCACATGCCGGTACGATTATGGTTCAGATCGAAACGGGCAGGGGTGGGGATCGATCCCAGGACCCCTGGGTTTCGCAACGCGTGCATTGTCGTCATAATGAAACTGAGAGCGGTCACCTCCTTTGCGACACATTGTGACAGTTTGTTGCACCTTGTGTTGCAGTTGGCATCGAGGGAGCTTCACATCATGTGCACTCAGAGTCACCACTTTCCGACAGCCAGCGTACCCGCCCACCGCGTCGGAGTCCACCTCGAGCGCCTCGTCTCTCTCGGCCACAAGGTGTGCATTCTCAAAACGGGATTATGCCTCGAAAGATCCTTAATCATTATGTTGACGCATATCATAATTGCGAAGCTTGCGAAGACAAGGACAAAAGGAGAACTGGACAGCACTGTGCACTTATTTTCATTCGTTTAATCGCGGGAAACGACAAAACTGTGTTTACTGTGCCCTTGCAGCACTCTCGGCCAATCCGATGCCTTGTCACTGCTTGCAAGAAAGTGATAAGGTCGTAAGCAAGAGTATTGAAGCTGATGTAATCAAAAGATTTGCTACAGCATATGTCAGTGTAGCCCTTCTTGAACTTGCAGGTAAGCAAATGGCAATCTTGCAAATGGTGGTGAGGCGTCGGATTGGTTGAGAATGGTGCAATGGCACAGTGTATATATACTGTAACATCTCGAGAGATGCCTCACCCGCAAAAAGTAACCCACCCCTAATTTTGGCGTGGTTTTCAGTTTTTTTTTTAAGAACACCGAGGGATAGTCGCTTTGTACTCAGTGGAGTGTCCGTGCCAATGGTGACACCAGCGGAAATTGGGTTATAGTTACCTGTGGTGGAAGATAAGCAAACATTGCTGACTGGAAAGGGCAATGATCCCTGCTTCATTGCTCCTCGTCCAAGGTAACATGCTTGACAGGTCACTTGATCTAAAAATAGCATTTCTTTCAACGTTTCTTGATTGTACACTGAAAGTTAGCCCACTCCTTGTTTTCACTCGATTTACTCTCGATTTCAGGTGGGCTGTTTCCCTAGATATTACGGTAGTTTCTTCTTTTCCCATAATTAAACAGTTAAAAGTTAGTGCACAATAGTGTGCAGTTCTCCTTCATTTGTTCTTGTTTTTGAGCGCTACCATGCATTCTATATGTCGGCACCAACTAGTTGAACAATCAACACATCATAGAGTCTGGTGAGGTAATTTACCCTCAAGCGGTAGCATGCCCCCTCTTTGTGTCCCCAAAGGAAAACACTGAAAGGTGTCCTGTTCTTAGTTTGGACAATTTGGGAGATGCAGTGAACGATTCGATTCGATTCTTGACAACTGTAGCAGTGAACACGAGCACTGCACAGCACACCGGAAAGCTTTGAATTTGCAAGGAATTGCAGTTGAGTTTGTCAGGGGACAGCATGAACTGCTACGAAGCACTAGCTGGAGTCAATAAAACCTGCCAAGGTAAGCATCTAGTTTAGCATGTTTTCCTTTTACCATATTTTCCAGTCTACAAGTCACTCCCGTTTGTAAGTTGCACCCTCCTAGAAACAGCTGCTTTCAGGATGAAGTTGGTGTACAAGCCACACTTACATATATGTACGGTTGACATGCATACGTCTGTTACACTTGCAATATATGTGCAATGAAAGCAGGTTTCAATATTTTCATCGACAAATCGAGTGAGAAATATAACCTCCGTGGCTAATTTCTGCAGTTAAGGTCTATACTCGTAGAAACAAATGCACATAAGCCGTGCATTGTTGTGTAAAAGGAGCCGACAAAAAGTTTTGAAAAAGAAAACCAACTTAAACACCGGAAAATATGATGCATATGCGTGTGGGAAATGTGCATTTGGTTCTTTGTCGTGCCGAGACCCCTATGAACCATTTCAATGCATTATTACATTTCTGTGTTCAAAGTTCTTCAGGCTCCTAATGGTTCACCGTTCAAGCGTCCATTGCCAGTGACTACTTTGGTCAGTTCTACTGCTTCACATTAGTCATTATACATTCTGTTTAAGCAGCCAGGGAATTTGAAGACAGAATTGTAGGACTGGGAGCAGAATGGACGTGGTTCTCACAAAAAAAATTTCTGCATGAGGGCCCATTTGCGTTAACCTGCTAATGGAGCAGAATGGGCGTTTCTCTGACAAAGGAAATTTCTGCACGAGGGTCCGTTTGCGTTAACCTGCTCTGAGAGCAACACACGTTGGTGTCAAAAGTTAAACTAAACCAAGTCAATTTGCTTTTTCAGTTGAGCTTCGCTTTTTAAATTTGCCCTCACTTTTATGGAATAATTTTGATTGACAGCTTAAGAAACACAGGGCATTGCCTACATTTATGCTTCTTGAATTGGGGTTCATTCTTCAGCATTCTTATAAGCTAAGGCCGCGATCTAACTGGCTCCAAAGCAAGAGTTAGGTTCTCAGGAGTTGCCCTGCGTTAATATCTTTCTGTTTTTTTGTTGTTGTTATTTTAAAGAATGTTTTTTTTTACTCCCAGCCTTTCACTTGTGATAGACTACAACTAGTATGTTTGTTTAATTCACTTACGTCGGTCTACACTAATGCCGGAAGTCTAGGCGCATTTTAGGGCAGCATACTCCCAGCGTGCCTTTGGAGGTAGGCTTCCATCGTACAGTGTGTCAGGCAGTGCACACTGGGGCTACACATGTACGAGAAGCATAGTTCAATGAAATCAACTCACCGTAGTCTTACGGCCTGTTCACACATACACTACACTGTTAACTCACCAGTGCTTAAATACATAGCACCAACTTTCCTCTATACTCAGCGCTGAGTCAGTGCTGACACTGACATTGGCTTAGTGCTTACTTAGTTTTATTTCAGCGCTGTGCCTAAGTGATAACCGGCCTTTACCGAGGAGTGGTCCACTCCTCGGTTTGAGAGCGAATTGTTTTGGTGTTTGTGAGCTTCGTTCTGGTGCTTCGCAGGCCTGAGTTGCCTTCACTCTTTGGTGTTCTTCGTGACCAGGTGGGCATTGTGCGGCAGACAGAGTCTGCTGCGCTCAAGTCGGTCGGTGCATCGAAGTCGACGGTGTTCTCAAGGGAGCTCTCTGCTCTCTTCACCAAATCAACGCTCGTTGGAGAAGGTATGGGACCGAGCGTCTCTCTCGAGACTGTTCTGCATCTTCATTTCTTCCAGTTTGTGTCTTGTATTTTTGCGCACAGTGCTTACGTTTTAATTGAGAATCCTTTTTTTTTTGCTCGCAGGATAATTTTGAAACGAGATGTAATGTCACGGATGGAGCATATATTCGTTATCATATACAGTAAACTTTCACTTGAGCGAACTTCAAGGGACCCAAGAACTAGTTTACTTTAACTGAAAATTCACTAAACTGAATATACTCGCTAGAATATGGAACAGCATAGGGCACAGCATACATCGAGTCAAAATTGTGAAATGGAATTTATGGAGTCATTTACATCGACATATACACAGTGCATAACAGTTACGTTGCTGCCTTTCTCACTTTGGAAAAAAATTTGTAATTTTCACTTACACCGGCGCTTTTAAAGTGCGTGAAGTAACAAAGCTGTCCAGAGAGTCAATTTTTTTCTTTGCACTTCCTCTGGCACAGCTTCTTTCTGTGGGAGCTATACCATAACAGCATTGTTTACTGGCTTGAAATATCCTGATCAGAGTCGTTTCCTGTTGGGATTAGATTGCAGCTTAAGCTTCCTTTAAGCTTCGACTTCTGCTTCAGTATCATTGACAACGTCGACGATAGAACTGTCGATTATGTTTCTGCTATACTTTGTTCCACTGTAACTTGGCAAACGATGAAGACTACAGTCCATGTTAGCCAGTCGGCGTGTAGAGGGAGACGCCTGGTTACAATCTGACTCGCTAGTCAGACGCAGTGCTTAGGAAAAGATGTTTTTGTACAAAATTTGAGTTACGGGCTAATCTTCTAGGGCATGGTTTCTCAAACTTTTCAATCTCGGGGGGAGCCCCATTCGCCATGGATGGCAACCGAGGAATCCCTTTCAGTCTCAGCATCAATCTAGTAAGGTAGTGCAGAAGCTTACAGACGTTGCAAACAATAGTGTACAAACTGGGGAGCAGATGATACATAGTTAGGCATCAATGGATGGCTCACGTCTGATAAAAGGCCGTTGAAACTGCAAAAATACCTATCTTTGAGGCAGGGGTGGTTGAGGAAATTGGGGAGCTTGGAGGTCACATAAGGGTGCTCTAGGGAACCCTTCAGTTAGTAGAAATCCAGTTTGAGGAGCCATGTTTTAGGGCGATAAAAGCGATGTCTGGCGTGCACAAAAGAGGGTCTGTGTATAATCTGCTCTGGCAGGTAAGTTACAGTAGGCTCGCGATAATTCAAACTCGGATATTTTATACTTCTGGTTAACCCTTTAAAGGAGCTGTGCAACGATTTTAACGTTGAAAGAATTGGCCTCTTCTGCTTTTGATATTGTTCACCTTGTCACAAATGACAGAAAACACACCTCCTTTCATCGAAATGTTGCGATTCCGCCGCGTAATAGCGAGGCAAAACTTAGAATATTCCCCGACCTGCAGCCGCGAGCGGCGGCCATGAGAAACGCTTGGCGTGACGTCGATGGGGAATCTTGTAGAAACATACCAAGTTGTGCGAATACCTGCTCGATAAAAGGTAACTTTTCTATAAATCTTGTCGTTCCAACATATATATAAATGCGTCAAAAACCTGGTATCATCTACAAAACTTTTATTATATGGAGTTTTAGTGGCGCCATCTATCCTAGGTCCACAAAACCGTCAGCTCTCTGCTACCGCGAACAGCTGCCAGAAGCCGGAGGGGGTGGGGGACAGGGTCGGACGGGTGCCGGACCCGGATGAGACTTTCCTCCTTTCACCGGCGGCGCCCGCCAGCACGTGGTCATGCGGTCGCGAGCGGATGAGTTCTCGCCGCTCACTGATGGTTCTAAAGAGAGAACTTTTCCGGAACACCGCGCCTACCCCATCAACGTCACTGCGCACATGACTCGGAAGACGACGTACGGGTTGAGAGGCGACAAAAACCTGGATCTTTTTCATTTTTTAAAATAAAAACTAGGGTATCCAGGCAAAATATGTTTTTTGTACTTCACTTCAGAAGTGTCGGGCATCAACTTCCACAATAATTTAAGCAAAGCCCTGAAATTGTTGCACAGCTCCTTTAATTAAGTGCCTTGGACGAGCTGAGCTCGTCGGCCGCTTTTTGGCTAAAAATGCCGTGGATGAGCTCAGCTCATTCAGTGTTTTTTTTTTTTTGTAGCCCTCACTTTCATGGACGAGCTAGGCTCGTCAGAGTAGTTTGTGGCGCTGATTATAGATGGCAGCACTCGTTTTAGTTGGCACATTTTTTTTTCTGCCGCGGCTAATTTTTGGGTAATAAACTTTTGAAATTTTATCTGTATTACTAGAAGAATAAAACTTCTAAATTAAAAAAAAAATGGCACTTTTAGGTTACTTTTTAAAAAAAAAGGGCCACTTAAAGGGCAACTCCGCTTCATTTTTGGTTTTGAAAAAACAATGCAGTCCTCTTCAGTATCGCCTAGGAAGACCACACATGAAATCTTACGACGCAGTTCTGTCTAAATGTTTCTTAAACGGTCCTGCAAACTTTGCAACTCGCCAAGTTGCCGAAATCGGCTGACTTGAGCGGGCGAATTCAGGCGCAATCAACTGCGCAGTCAAGGCTACGGCACGGGCGGAGCCAACATTAAGCTAAACGCCATCTACATGGCCCCCTTTTGCTTGTTTTCACTTCTCCGGGCGAGCGTAGCGCATGACGTCAGCAACGTTGCCTCTCGGCGCTCAGCAGTGTCCACGTGATTGGCGTAACGCGCCTGCGCAACGCGTTTCTTGGGAGCCGTCCGGCCGCCCGCCGTGGTCCCGCCGTTACCGCCGTCTTCCGCGTCACAACCGCTGTCGTCGTCTCACCGATTGTGATTATTGTCTCTCGGAGTTTCGTCCACACTACGGACACCACGTGCGCGCACACTTATGCCGCAGTTGTGCAGACGTCGTCGAACGCCGTAGACACCAAAACGTGGCGAAGAGTGCAATGCAGAAGACACTCGCGCCTGCCACACGCCCGCCCCAATCCCGCCCGTCGTGGGGCCGAGGATCACGTGACACATCTCGTACCACGTGATGGCCATGTACTTGGCGACCCGAAACCAATGTTGCCTGGCGGAGCCGAAGTTTCGGTTTCGATTTCCGCTCGGGTTTAAAATCAGATTTAAAAATATATATCCCATTTTTCGCGAAGCAAACGATGTAGTGTGTTTTACTAGGACTTTTTAATTCGAAATCAATCATTATCCCGAAATCTTCGGAATTGAGCAGAGTTGCCCTTTAAGGGGTTAATTAAAACAAATTTTAAAATTTCGGTAGTCCCGCTTTGTTTTCAGTGTATTTAAAGTCCTTGTCTTTTTTCCACACTTTTACATTTCAAGTATACTTTTGTTCTCATGGCCCCGTTAGGCACGCTTCTTTCTGAGCACTGGTGCTGTGGAGAAGCAATAACCACAAAGCTCGTTTCCGCGGGTGTCGCTGCTCTGCAGTGCACCGGTGCTGGGTAAGAAGCGCGCTCAACGTGGGTAATAGTCCACAATAGACAACCTTTTTTGCTGGATGAACAAACCTAATTATGTTTTGAAGTGTCATGTGCTCCTAAACAGCCCACGATAGACAACATTTCTGAGGGGTGAATGAAGTTATACATTATGATTAGTAGGTCTGTGTAGAGGGAGTAATCAAATGTCTGCTTTGTACGTGTAGCCATCCACATAGAAAAGCATAACTTTTTCTTGCATCATATTTAGATGCATTTTTGATAAATCAAACGTTTGATATTTGAAGCAATATTTGTGGCTTCCTGGAGTTTGAATTAATGAGACTCTAGTGTAGCTTTGTTGAGTGCACTTCTCACCATGCCCTTGTGTATTGCAATAAAGCAACAACCACGAAATAAGCTTTGCAATTTTGCTTATCCTGCTTCTCCGCAGCACACCCGCATGCTTAAAGGGAAGCACTCCCCCTGAGCAGGACTTTAAACACGCGGGTGTCGGGTATATTAAAAAAAGCGAAACTTGGTGAGTGTTAATGTAACAGATCTTAGTTGCAGTAAAAATTTCTGAATAAAACTGCAGCTAATATTTATGGTAGACTGCAATATTCTGGCGATATTTTTTTCAAATGCGAGATTAAGCGAAGGTACTCGCAAGAAAATTTGTGTGAACTGCTGTTTAGGTTTATTTTTATTTCAATGCTCTCGTTTAGTTGTCACCTTTGGAATACCACAACAGTAGGCATGTTTCCTAGTTGGATAGGCAAAGACATGAAAAGTAACATAATATAATATTCTGAGTGTTATTTGTTCGAGGTACAGTCAATAGAATAAATTAAAGATAAATTAACTGACGCAGTGGAGGAAGCTTGGGAATTAACTAGTTTGACTAGATTGTTTTCATAAGGCATACTTATCGTTCACTTGTCAATCTTTGTTATCTTGAAATTTTACATACAAAATGTCATTGATGTTCATAATTCATTGACAAGAGTTCTTTTTTTTAAAACTGAGTTAAGATTTTCAGTTTTATTACAACTTTTTGAACTTCAATGAAACACCAATTTGTGTGCTCAAGATTATTCTAGCATTATTTCAGTGGAATATGCTATTTGGTTTACATTTTATTTCACACATAAAATAACCAGTCACAGCAGTCCATACTGTCCTTCATCGATTAGCATCTTGTTGCCATGCCTAGTGCTTCTATGTGCAACTAAACAGTGAGTGCTGTGTTCGAGGCAAAAGCAATCAGTCCTGCCGTACAATTAGTGCGAACGAAAGTTTCCACAGAAGTGTGAAGGTAAAGTAGGCATGTTTCCTAGTTGGATAGGCCAACACATGAATATTAACATAATATAATATTGTGTGCGTGTGTGTGTGTGTGTGCTTTAAAAGTACTTTTTTTTCGCTTCATAATGAGATGAGCTTGTGGCTGCTCCAAAAGGTGCTGCAAGACGACTCATAGCCAATCACATCACTGTAGTAGGTGCTTGATGGAGACATGCGATGTGTGGAAAAAGCTTTTGTGTTTGGGTAGAACTAGATTTTACTCCAGGTTTGCATCCCAAACAGGTTTTATCAGTGAGCATTTTCAAAGTTGTTTCTGTTGTAGTCATAAAAACAAGCTGTCATAATATTTCACAAAAGCTGCCTGTTCTTAATGAGATGCTTGCTGTTGAAATTATGCGCAAAAAAGTAGTTTTTGCATGTGTCGATCATCCCGGCGTGCTGTAATCTACAGTGTCTCGTTTTCTCAGAGCACACGAAACCTGGAAAGCTGGAGACTCCCGAATCATAAAATTGGACGGGAAAGAGTACGACTCTTCTCCGCATTTCAGTACGAACAGCAAAAACCATAAACCTTACTCTCTGAATTTTCGTCGATCACGTAATCCGAAAACAGAGAACCCCAAGCACAACCGAGTTGCATGTCATGTCCGTCACACATTTTTCGACAGATCTGCAGTTGAGTGGACAGTGCCAGTCCACGGGTGCCTACCTGGTGTCGGTCGGCGAGTCTGAATGCACCACACCAAACCACGTCCTCGTCGGAATCGTGGTATGTGACGTCGTCTGATTTGCTCGAGCCAATCTCAATTTATGTGCGGACGGCGGTGTCAGTTACGTAGACCGAAGCTAAAGTCACTGGATCTTGGGTAAGTAGCACCAGGTCGTGTGGTCACCATTTTGGTCCACGGAACAAGCAGCTTTTTCTCGACCTCATGGTGAACCGATCCCAATTCGGGGTGACGGGTTACTTTATGAAGACATCGGTTGGCCACACGTCGGCGAGACGAGTGCATATCTTTGCACTGCCACAACATGCGGTGTAGGTGCCCGATAGAATTAAAAAATAATTTTCTGGAGGTAAGTTTGTTTCGTATATAGTGCCAAAGACGCGTATTTATGCAAGGAACGCTTTCAGTGAGATGGATGACCCTTTTGAAGCTTCGAAGATTTGAAAGAATCAAAATGGAGATTTCCCCGGCAACAGATGCCATTCAGCAAATCGCCTTGCTAGGATTTGGTTGTCTGTATGCTAGTATCTGCTTTGTATACAGCTAGCAGGCAGGGAAGGCAATGGTGCTAGCTTTTCAGGATCCAGTGACATTAAAGGGAAGCTGAAGAGGTTCTGGAAAGAAATTAGAGGTGAATTCTAACGTATGTTTGTTCTGTGAATTTGAATATCACAAGCATTTGACCCAAACACATCAATAGATGCAAGAAAAACAAAAAAAACCAACTGCTGGGTGTGACGTCGTACCCAGAGGTTTCAATTGCCTTGCGCATGCTGCTTGTGAAGGCATGCGTTCAGCTTTTCTGACTGTTTAAGTCAGCTTGCAAAATGTGTGGGAAATGTTGAAATCCCTGTATAATATGTCACAATTGTTTCCTTGCTCTGAACATGCTGGGGCTTCAGCAGTATTTTGAAAGTGCTGTTGTGGCTACTTGGCGCACCAATTTGAGATAGAATTTTGATATTCGTTATCCCGAAGGCCAAGTGAAGGCAATTTAAAGGGACACTGACAGGGCATTTTGCTCTCGAAGGTCTTTATTTGTACATGATATATAAGAGCCCAACTACCCAGAACAGAATTTGCGGCTCAAAATTCGTTTTCTTGCTGTCCGAAGACTGCTGATCGAGAACTGGCTGGTTTGAGTCGTGCTCAATCTTTTCTTCATGGTCACGGGCCATTTTCTATGGTTTAGGCACAACCACCAAGTACACATAATAAAAAAAGCTGTAGGTCCTCGAAGGCGCACACTGAATATTAAAAATATAAAAATAAATGTGACATCCATTTTTTGTGTCTTCTAAAAAGCTGCAAATATGTTGAGTGCACAATTATGTAATTTTTGCCAACTCTCTCCTCCTCTGTTTCTTCTTCCTCCCCAGTCCAGTTTTGATTCCGGTTTCGAGCAGTACGTTTTTTTCCTTTATAAAATATATAAGTGACGCTGCAGCAAAAAAATTGATTGGGTAGTCTTCTCACACCATGTTAAATTGCCTAGAAAAAAATTAAAAAAAATTTTTCCGAGGAGTGTCAATGTTTTTTAAATGTCTTTCGTCAAATACAGAACTGCTTCAGTTTATCTTTTACCAAAACAACAGCAACGACAAAGTCACAAGGACAAGTGTTTGCCACACAATAGGGCAATCAATGCAAGAAGTGTCCTTCTGAAACAATCATGAGTCTCGGTCGTCCTGGTGTCCTGGTAGTTGCTGCTGGTTTGGTTGCTGTGGACGCAGCCAACACAAATGGGTGAACTAGGCTTCAGCCGCACTATTTATTATTAAGAAGATATAGCAGTAGAATTTCATCTCCGATTGGAACTTTTCCGGAATCCAGATGGCACTGGAGAGGACGCCTTTCCACTCACCTGCCTACACGATATAGTGCTATTTCCAAACAAAAATAGAGAAAAAACTTGTCTTTTTGTTCTGGTTATCAGCGGACGGCTTGACCCTGAAAGCCCCCCACTTAACCCACCCATCCCGTCACCCCGCCCTGCAAGCTGCGAGAATGGCTTTTTTTAAAAATTCTGTAGTAGTTCAAAAAGAGGATAGCAGTGAGGGTTGTGGGCCTCCAAGCCCATCGCGAAGGAAGCTCTTTGTCCCATTCTTACTGGATTAGGAAGAACAAAAACGCGGTTAGAGAACGCCTCATTTCGCTGCCCGGTTTTACTTCGGAAAAATATCTTCCTCCGTTTTTCGGGTATTTCATGTTCCGAGATTTTTCGCACCGAGATTTTTCGCACAATATGATTTTCAAATTGCATGTAGATTGTTGATATCGTCAGTACAAAAGCAAAATATGCCATACATTTCTTTCTTGCTGTTGTGTCATAAACTAAAATGTTGCGAAATGATCTGCCACAAATCGGAATGGCGTTGCGTCCTAGATAGCGGCCTTTCAGAGCCTGCTTTTCATTCCAGCAAAGCAGTGCTTAGAAAAATAAAGCTAGTCACTCTAAAAAGTATCTGATCTCGTGAGAAAAAAAGAAACAAAATTAATTATTTCGTGACGCAATCAACAGCCTTTAGAGTCCCAGCATTCCTTTTTTTTCCAGAGCACCAGATGTCGTTTTATTTCAACGGTCACCCTGATTTCTAAATAGGTGTGCAATTTCTAAATTGCACGGAAGCAGAACTATATGTTGTACTTCCGAAATGCCAAAAAATCAATTACCACAGGTTTACATAGTGTTGCGTCTTATATGCTTACTGATTAGAGCCTAGTTCTATTGTAAGAAAGCTATGTTTTAAAGAAAAAAAAAAAGATTTTGACTAACTTTTATAATCACATGTTCTGATTAATTACTTCACAAAACTGAATTGCCACTAAGGCCCCAGCATCTTTTACCGAGCACCGCATTTGTTGTTTTGTTTTGTTTGCCCAAACGAGACACCGCCCCCGCAAATCACTCAAATAAGTAAACGCTGTAGCACCAAGTAACCGCGTCAAGGGGCGCCGGGCGCTTTTTGGCTCATGTGATTGTCTTTTTGACAAAATTATACGTAAAAACTTTTTTTTTTTCGAAGTGAGCCAGTTCTATGTCAAGCAAAACTGAGATGAAGTGAAATGTTTGAGTATCAGTAAAGCTATGAGCCATGTACTGTGGTCACCTCTGCAGTGTTTTTTCTTGCATAATATGACCAATTTCAGTTTAAAAACATGAGATTGATGCACCGACAGATATAGTCTGAATTTCAGGAAAAATTAGCTGAGTTTCGGTTTTTGGCTTGTTTCGGGCCGGCTCTCTCTTTGCGCTGGGGATAACGCTAATTGAACTTGAGGAAGAAGACGAGGAAGGACGGTTTTCCTTCCCTTCTCGTTTTCTTGCATCTTATACCAAACCGCTCGTTCCGTCCTTGCGGATAACGCTACTCTCGAGTTAATTAGAGGGGTTCACTGTCTTGTGGCTCGGGTAGGTGTCGTTGTATTGCATTCCGAGGAGTCTGGACCTCCTTTGTGTTTTGCCGGTTTGCCTTTAGGGAGAAAAAAAAAAGGGGGTGGAGGGGGCTCCAAATCTGCGCCTGAGTTATCCTCGAGCAAAGCAGTAATGAAAAAAATAACCCCAAAGTAAAAAAAGAAGAAAAAAAGGGGGAAACATGTAGGGTTTCAGGACATTTAATCGAACGCCGTTTCATCGAAAAAATGGTCGTCCCGTACCGAAACTTTCAATTGCAATAATTGGCCGGTATTTTCAAACAAAAAATCCTAATAGCAAAAAAAAAAAAAAAAAAAAGTTGCTAACAAAAAAAAAAAAAAAAATATTGAGGCTGGAGAAGGGGGGAGGTGGTGCAAAGCCCAAATCCATCCGCTTGGTTACAACTCCAGGCGTGTCCTCCGTCGTGCCATCTAAGCGTCTGTCGTACGAGAGGACAATGAGAAATGACTTCATAGTTTGCAAGATTCAATGATGTCAAAGAAAGTATAAATTTTTAAATTTTATTGGCAGAAACTTCTGATACATTGAATGAAACGGCGTTCGGTGAAATGTCCGGTCCCAGTTGCGGTTGATCTTCTAGTGCGCAACAGAACCTCAGATGCCTCGCTTGGGGAGAATATGATGACTGAAAACCGGCGCCGTGCAATTTTTTTTTGCGGTTCCGATATAAAACAAAAAGTGCAGGTCGATGCCGAAGTCACGAATCTTGGAAAAAAGCTAATAGAAGAAAATCTTACCGCACAACCGACTGACGAGGAGAAAAGCTCACCGGCCTCTTGATGAATGCGGTGGAAACTCACCTACGATTTTTGTTTTCGGAAATGGCATTCTTTTGGTATATAGATAATACCAACAATCTTTTCCATATTTTTTTTTTTTTTTGTAGTAACTTTTGATTTCTGGTGCGGATGGGTCCTGACACAATTTCAGGGCTCTCTGTGGTCGTTGGGTGCAATGACGAGGTCACTTCATTATAGAACTCAACGTTGAGGCAATGTCTTCATAGAAAAAATGTGTCTATCACTTTGTTAATTTTTTACATCCTGCATAACTGTGGACTTCTGCCTCTTCATTTCTATTGGTGTCTCTAATATACAAATTTATATATATCTCCGTTTGCGTTCCCCACAGGGCCCCCGCAGTAGAGCCGCAGATACTAAATTTAAAAGCTTGATCGTATAATTCTTGCATGGATTTATCTCAGCATTTTTGCAGTGAGCTTTTCTTCCGTGAACTTCTTGGTGTTGCGCTGTTCTCCGGCAGAGAAAAGCTCACAGAAATCCGGCGGATGCGGAGAAGAGCTCACCAGACTTTTGATACATGCAAAGAAAAGCTCACCTTTACAAACCGATCTAACATTATTTCTTCGTAGCTCTCGATATTTTATCGAGCTCTGTTCTATCAAAGATATTTATTTCAACGCCATTTATTTGAACCCAATTTCATCGAAGCCGTTCAATAAAACACCGTTTTATTGAACATCATGGTTTCTGGCCAGATCGTTTCTCGTTTTTGTAAATAGTGTTTTTTCTTTGCATCCAAAGGATAAATATATTGTCACGAATGACAACTGATGAGGCAATGAATAATTTTAGAAACTAAGCGTTTAATCAGGTGAACAAA